TTTAGATTTGATCAAATAAATCATTCTTTGATTTGAATTTGATCAAATCAAATCAAATATAAATTTGAATTTGTATTGGATTTGATTTTCAAATCAAATATTCAAATATCAAATCGAATTGCGGAACCCTAAGCATAACTAATATCATTTGAAATAACTAGTGAAAATATTAAAAATCGTATAAGAACAACATATAAATATAATTTCAATAATTCCCTTTTCTTTTGTAAACCAACATATTTAAAATTAATTGGAAAAATTGAATACTATTTAACAGCAATTCAAAAACATTTACAGAAAAATGGATTAATAAAACGTGATCATAGTAATACTGGTCGAGCACTAATACTTTTATCACGTACTTATATTAATATAGATGTTTCATTTTCAGTCAAAAAATTTTTAATACAATATAGTAATATGGGGTGAGTGCTGGGAAAAGGGACCAAATCAACAAAAATTTTTTTTTTGGAAATAACAAATGATTTGAATTAGATAACCAAATCTACATCTATTTTACTTAGAAACTTTTTTTTAAAAAAAAAATCAATTTGGTCCATTTTCCCAACACTCACCCTATATTTATGATTTACATCTCCTTTACATTATCGAAATGATTCAGATGTCTTTATTTATTTATCTACTGAAAAATATACACATCTATCTATGAAGTATATACAGTATTAATAATATTGAAGATAATCAGACAATTATTTCTTATAATGTCTTTACAAAACTTTAGCATGAATTAATATCACATATAAAATTTTAAATATTGTCAAATGATTTATGTGAAACCTGTGAAAATCTTAAAGCAGAATTAAAAATAGTAAAGTATGATATAGAAGAACATAATAAAATCAAAATTCAATATGAAATGCATTATAAAGCAGCAAATTTTGAGCGTGAACATTATAATAAAAATATTAATAAAAGTAAAAATAATAAAACAATAGCACATATTTGTTATGACTGGGTACAAAATGTATCAGTTTCATATTCATCACAACAAGTTGAAACTCTTTATTTTAAAAATACTTTTTCTGTTCATTTATTTGATGTATGCAAGACTAAAGTAGTCAGAATTATCAATTAAATTATTTAATTGCAAAAGATGAGTTTTCTAAAGGAATAGCTAAAGGGACTAATACTACTTTAAATATGATATATAATACATTTCAAAAATTTGCTTGTATAGGGAAAAAACATTTAAGAATTATTTGTAACAATTATGCAGGACAAAATAAAAATAATCTTTCTTTATAGTTTTTGGGTATGGTTAATTAAGTTAGGATAGTATGAAAAAATTAACATAAATTTTATAATTCTAGGTCATACAAAATTTATAAGTGATGCATTTTTTGGACATATTAAAAAAGTATATAGAGACACAAGAATTAATACAATCAATGATATAGAGAGAATTGTGAATTGCTCATCTAAAGAAAATGAAGCAATTTGCGCAATTTTTATAAAAATAGATGGATTTGATATAATTTTGAAGGTTTTTTAAAAATTATTTTATTCCTTTACTTAATATAAAAAAATACTATCATTTCCATTTTAGTAATTCACTTAGTGACATTGGTAAAGTTTATGTTTTAAAGGAATCTGAAGGATTAGAAATATTTTTTGAACTTCTTCGTAATAATAGTTTTGATAAAAATGGCAAAATCAGTATAATTCCAATTTCACCATTAATAAAAGAACAAAAATAATATTTATATTCTAATATTTATAAATACGTTAACAAACCATTTAAAGAGTTTCATTTTTCTAAACCTGATGAACATTAGCTTATTAAATAAATAAATATATTAAATTGTTAATTAAAATAAAAGGTACAGAAAATTTATTTAAAATTAATAGAAAAAGTAGGAAAGGAATAAACGAAATGAGAAAAAAAAAAGTAAAAACAAGTAATAAAAAGAAACGAAATATTTTATAGTATATAAAAAAGGTATAAAAATAGGAAGGAAAAAATGAGCAAAAAAAAGAAAAACAAAAAAAAGATATGAAAAAGGAGAAAATCCTATACCAGCACATATTTTTAGCACCATCATCAACATTAACATCAGTACTATTAAAAACCAATGTATGATCAGTTATCAAAACATCTAAAAATTTATAAAACTCCAAATGTATCTCATTAAAAGTAAAAGAAAGAAACTATTAAATAAAAGAAGAATGAACGAATGACATAAAGAAGAGAGAAAGGAAAATAACGTATGAAAAAAGGAGAAGAAAAGAATGAATAAAATAAAAGTGGTCACCTACTTGGACACGAAGAAAAAAATGGAAGTTGGTAATTTTTGTCATCAATCATCTCCTCATGCAAATTTAAGCACAAATGCTGTGTGTGAAGCATTAGAAGAATATAATTCAAAAAGCTGGATTCAATGTAAAGGTCACCAAATCTATCATATGCAATATAATAACAAATGGATAAGGTTTCTCAAGAGGAATCCCTACTAATTAGAACTTCAAAATTTTCCAGTTTTGTTTAGTATTACAATATTAAAATTTTTATTGACACTTTCCATTTCATTTTTTGTCATATAAAATATATAGTTAAATGAATGTTAATTAAACTCGCCGTTCATTTTAAAAATCAATCTTTCTATACTCTTAATATATCAAAGTCTAATTTTTTTATTTTTTTGCTAGGGTTATATGATAAAAATATATAATTATATACTGTATAGTAGAGGTAAAGCAAATAAATATGAACCATTTATCAAAAAGTATTCCAGTTCTACAATCACTAGCAACCTTCACAATCACCTCCTATCAAATATAATCTATATTATTCTGAAAATGAATTCGATTCTGAATATTATTCATATCACACTGAAAATAAATCTGAATATTATTCCAATTACTTTTATGTGAAGTTATAGTCCTAAACAGAAAGTACAACTATTATCATCATCACCAAAGAAGAAAAGTTGAAAGTATTACGTCAATTTATAAGAAAAGAACATCAATAAAGAAAATTGATAAAAAACCTGAGACATATGTTGGAAAGGTGAAATACTAATTTTTTTTTCACGATGATATTAACATTTCAATGAGATCAAAAATGCTAAAATTTAAATTTTTTTCTTTTTTTTAATAGCTTAATGAGGATTTTAAAAAGTTTATTTTTATGATATTCCTTTAAGTTATAATCGATATAATGCAGCAGTCTTGTTTGCAATTAATTTAACATTAAATAATATTGGTTTTGCTGGATGTCCTTTCCATATATTATTTTTAAAAATCTTTTTAATTGAATTAGATCATCTCTAATACCATTTAGCTCAATATATTTCCATAGAATAGGAGTACTGCATCTATAACAATGCTGGCAAATAAATAGAGTGGGATAAAGTGACTTATCTACTGCTAAAAAATGTAAAATCTGTTCCAATAGTTCTGCCATACTAAAAACTTTTAAATGTGTCATAATTAATATATGCTATATCTTTAATCAAAAAAATAAATTAACCAGTCAGTGAGAATCTGCATTTTATCTGAAAGAACGAACAAGAGAATACTTATATTATCTTTCCATTAAGCGGACCTGAATTTAATCTGTGTTTTGCAAAACCCTACCAAACAATATCTGCAATCTCAGATAATATGAAACATCCAATTTAACTAAAATTTCATATAACCTATTCAAAGGATCTGAAGGTTCCTTATAAGCAAACTTGATCTTTGTCTTTTGATTGAGACCTTTAAAGAAACCTTTTTTCATCTCTACTTTATGTAAGTCCAGACCTGATAATGAAGTATATGCTTAATATTTCTTATATGCCTCAAAAAATTCATTTAGTAATTAGTTATCTTGAACTGGTGCTAGGCTATCTTTATCTCTTTTAGGTTCCAATGCTAGAGAAGGTAGAGGGAGTGTTTGATTCAGTCAATTAAGTGTATTTCTTACTTTAAAAAGGCTATTTATTTCTATAATAGATTTGTGTTTTATATTTTATCTTTAATTAGTGAAAAAATAAAATTATCTGAGCCTGAGAGACCCTACTGGTAGATTATTAACAGTAACTGCTAAGCCTTCCCACTATCTTATCTAATATAAGCACTTATAAACCATCTATAAGAACTTTTATCTTATTCTCAGGTAATAATCCATTGAGGAATAGCTATTTGAGCCGTTCTTCAGAATATTCCTTGCTTAAATTACACTTTTTCAGTTTCGAATAAAACTCTCTTACCGTATAATTGCCTTGAACTATCATCCCATATAAAAATTTCATTCTTTTGGATCATTCAAAATTCGTCTCTCTTTCCCATATATTATTTATACTGTAAGAATTTTTTAGATTCTGTTCTGAAAGATACTTTAGAATAAATAGTAATAGTTTAGATAGAAGTTGTTCTAATAAATTAACTGTATGCATTTTTATATGATTAGAATATTTTTCATTTAAAAAAATATAGTTAATCATTTTAAACTACTATCTGCTTAACCTTTCTTGGTCGCATCTTCCTTTATTGCTTATAATGGACAGCTTTTTTTCTTTTACCTCAATTATTTCAACTAAATCAGATTCTTCAAAAGACTTAGACGAATAGAAGGGATCCTTACATTTTTTGATATTTAGCGAGGAAACTATTTATTATATTAAGTCGACCGCAGTTTTCCTATCTACATATTCGTCCAGATCTTCTAATTCAGTTTTTATAGATCACATATCTCTTTCCAGTCTTTTTACCCTCATTTTTAAAATACTATGTTGGGAATAATAGTCTTTTAATTGTTTCTTTAGCGCTTTATTTTTGCTAGAAAGTGCACTATATACTTCTGCAATTTGCTTGTTTAGTCCAAATATTTAAGCTAATTTTTTTATATGTTTGATAACTTCCTGTTCACTGGCATCAGATTGATACTTTTAATCAGTTACCATTTTTGTGATATATTCTATATGCTATATCCAGGGTTGAGAATTTTGTATGTATTAGATAAAATTAACACTGTACTTGTACTAATTTTTATATTAATTATTATAATGTACTAACTGTACTAATTGTACTAATCATTGTAC